AGTTGTGTTGGGTGGGAGAAATGTCACTTCCACATTAGGGTGTGCAAACTGGACTGTCTCTGGGTGGCCAGGAGCGTTGTCCAATATCAGCAGGACTTCGAAGGTCAAGGACTTGGATGTAAAGTACCACTCCACCTCATAGACAAAACAGTTGTTAAACCAGTCCATGAATACAGTGGCAGTAACCAATGCCTTGCAGTTGGACCTCCAAGATGGGCAGGTGGCTTTTGTTCTTATTCTTGAGAGCATGTGGGTTCTGTGATCTGTAGAGGAGCACTGGCCTTACCATAAAGTCACCTGAACCATTGGAGCAAAAAAGAAGAGTTAACCTGTCCTTTGCTGCTTTGAAGCCTGGAGCAGACCTCTCCCCTCCTTCAACAGGAAGGTTCAAGAAGGCATTCTTTTCCAGAACAAACCCATCTCATGGTTAAAGACCTGCTCTGGCTCATGACCCTTTTCCTCAATCCGCTTCTTCAGCTCAGGCAGGTACTGGGCAGCAGCTACATGGCCTGCTGAAACCAATTTCCCCATAATCTTCATGTTGTGGAGCCCACGTCTCCACTTAAAGTTTTCAACCCACCCCTCGCTGGCTTGAAAACTTGTGCTTTAACTTGTGCCTTCACCCCTCGAGGTCTGGATGATGTGGTCATGAATTCACTTTGCCTTCTCACGTATCACTTGGCTGCTCTCAAAGGCACTTTCCCCTGTGTCTGGTCTTCAATCCAGATGCTAAGAGCTTGTTCATTTTTTCTAAACTATGATCGCACGGCATAAAGGTCACTTTAGCACTTCCCGGTGTACCATTCACAACACTAGCCCTAATAGCAGCCTCACTTTTCTTAATGGTTCTCACAGTGGATTCATTCACACCAAAATGCCTCCCTACATTTGCCACACTCCCTCCACGTGCTAGACAATCCAACAACTCCCGTTTTGTTTCCAAGGACAACACTTTCCTTGTCCTCTTCACAAATTGCTCATCTTCACCACTCACTCGTTTAGAAGTCATGATTAAGGGCAAAATGCAAAAATCACGAAGAAATTGGGAGAAAAATTGTGAAGTGCGGTACCTGCGACTCCAACGAAGATGCATGTTTTTTTTCCAAGCTGTTTTTTGGCACAAATTGGAAAAAAAACATGCATCTCTTCTTTTACCAGAGAAATTGGTGGATTTTGCAGCCTGCAGGAAGCTCAGAGGGAGCAGAAGGAAGGCAGTGAGACAGGGGGTGCCATGTGTATGGACAGTACATGCACATGGCCCCAAGCAGCCTGCAGAGCAACTCCAGCAGGTAAGTGGGGGAAGAGGGTGATTGAGGCCCCTGTAGGGAGGGAGCTGGGCCGGACAGTGCAGGGCGAGCAACGGCAGGCAAGCAGATGCCTGCGTGGCTTCTCAGTGAATGGAGCCCCAACCGGGCCAGGTCGTGGGATAATCTGAACCCGGCAGCTCGTCCAGGGCTGCAGGCAGGCAGCTCCTGCTACCAATGAGTTCAGATCATCCCATGACTCGGCCCAGCCCTCATTTGCAGTGAACGGAGCCCTGGCTGGGCTGGGTCGTGGGGCAGTCCTAACTCAGCGGCTCGTCCAGGGCTGCAGTCGGGCGGCTCCCACTGCCACTGGGCTCAGATTGTCCCATGACCCGGCCTGGCCAGGGCTGCTGTTCCCTGCCTCCCTGCTTCCCTCCCCTACGATTCGGCATGGCAGGGAGCAGAGAAGCTGTGCAGGTATCTCCTCACCTGCCGTTCAGATAGGTGGGGGTAGAGAAGTGCCGCCGTGTGCTGCATGGGTCTGGCTGGTGCAGTCCTGCTCTCCCCTTCCTTTCCCCTCCCCCAGGCAAGAGGCAAACGCAGTATTCAAGTCCCTAGCCCCATTTTTGCATAAGCCTTTAGTTTTACCAACTGCAGTTTTGCCAACCATGGCAACTTTCCAGAACCTGACCCCTCACAGTTGGTGAGGGAAACCTGTACTACAGGAAGCATATGGGGATAATTTGTGGAAAACCTGACACAAAGGTCACAGGCATGGGGTACAGGGGCAGGCAAGTGCCAAGGGGTGTAGGCATGGAGGGAGGGCAGTAGCAAGGGAGCACGATGTGCAGGGGCAGGGCTCAAGCTGCTTGACTCCACTGCTTGCCCCTTCTGCCCCTGCTTTCCCTGCTCCTGCTGTAAAAGTTGACAAACTTAAGATAACCCCCAGAATAATAGGATTCTATGCATAGAAAATTATAACAAATGTATACATTTTCCATGTATAGAACCTAATTATTTAGGGGACCTTCTTAAATTCAGAGTTGCCTTGAAATCAGGTAAATATGGTATTCTTATAACTATATTCTTCTAACTTATGTGGCATGCAGCCTATAAGACTTCCCAGAATTCCTGTTTTGGTCATTTCTTATAGGAAAAAAATCCACTCTTGATTTTAAAATTTCCAGAGATGGAGAACTCACTGTAACTCTGGGTAAATTGGTCCAATGGTTAATCTTTATTGTTAAGATTTGCATCTTACTTCTAATCTGAATTGGTCTAACTTGAAATTCTGTTCACTGGATCTTAAAAAGACAACCATCTGCTAAACTGAGAATATCTTATCACATTTCTAATTTTTCATATAAGTATTTATATAGACAAATCAAACAGCCCCACAGTTACTAAAAGATTCAGGAAGTTAAATCTCTAATTTTATGAGAAATGATGAACCTCTCTGTTCCTAATCCAATATTCAAGTACTGGATTAGCCCCTTAGCCTAAAATACTGCACTGGGAATTTACTTCACTTGACTATCCATAATCATCCCCCGCCTCTTAAATCCTTCAGAGTTACTGCTTCCACAGCAGCCACCCATCCCGTGAGTATGGCCTAACTCTTTGTTCTTTGATGCATGACTTAACTTTTGGCCATATTTGTCACTGGCAGGCATGGAGAAAAAAAAAATTAAAAATGGTGCTTTACTTTCAGCTCGGCACATCCCCACACCAAGCACAGCACATGCCCAGAGAAGGAATCGCATAAGTTTAACCCAGCTTGCCCAGCATCTGTACAGACTGCACACTTTAGCAGGGCTTCTCAACACTTTTATCCAATAGCTGATTCAATCAGCTATTAGATAAAAGCACCAGTTTTGATTGAACGAACAAAACCAAAAAAATAACCGAAAGCACTTTGTTTGAATCGGCTACTAGATAAAAGCACCAAAAAACCCCGCTGAAATGTGAGACTTATACAGACACTGGGGAACTGGGTCAAACTAACACGGGTCATTTTCCGGTAAAGTGCCGGATTTTTTTGTTCCCCCATCTGTCAGCAGCCATAAAGACACAATGTTTGCCTGCATCTTGCTTATCAAGTGATCCATATCACCACATTAGTAAACAATGAAGAGGATAGGTCACTGTTTCTTCACCCTTTGTACTATCAGCAGACTTCAACAGTTATTATCGTGTGTCCTTTCCTCCTCCCTTCCGCACCAGGTTAAGAAACTCTAGAACTCTTTGGAACCAGTTACTCAGTGATGAGTGATATTGGTATACTTGCTTTAAGTGCCGTCAGTCAGTTTATTTCTCTTTGCAGTTTTTTTTCTAGATCCGAATAACTAAGAGGAGCGAGGTACCAAAGGCCCTAAAACCAGTGATTCTCAGCTAGAGTGTAAGTTTCTTTTAAGGGTGATGCACGGTGCTATGTAATCTTAAGCACTGATAGATGTGCAAACACCTACATAATTCACAGGGTATAAACCCAGAGACTACAGATAGGAATCCATAGTAGCAAAAGCATTTGGATTTGTGGTCTCTCCAAGTTTTTTGCAACTGAAGTCATTCTATTATTTTTCCATAATCAAAAAATGAATGAAAGCGAAGAGGTGGTATTTTTTTTAGTGTTTACTACTGAGATTCTTGTTCTGTGAAAAATTTCAAGATTTTGCAAAAATATGGTTACAAGACTCTTATAACATTTATTTTTCCTCCCCCACCCCAAATCACACAAACCTACCTGGCTTCACAGACGGCAAGCTGCCTCAGAGCAGCAACCCTGGAAGCCCAGACTGCCGAAAAGACCAAAAGCAGTTTGTAGCCATTTGATCTTGGGTCAGTGCTAGTTTTTGGCCTACAAAACTTTTCCTTCCCTAATATTCACTCCACGCACTGGCAGCTTATGATCAGTATGCCCAGGTCCCTCTGTTCCTCAGATATTTAAGTCTATGAGCCCCTATTTTATAGCTGAAGTCCTTGCGAGTGGTCCTCAAGTGCCTAACTTCATACTCTTAAAAACTTCATTCATTTCTGACATCCCATTCCACAAGATTTAAATCTTCCATATTGGCAATTCCTTTCTTGGATCTCTCAAGTGTACTTTAACAAGCTACTTCCTGTCCTTGCAATAGTAGAACATTAACAATGTCTTCTTCACTTTGCTTTGTCTGTTACAACTTAGGATGTTCTTGATGTTTTGAGGCACTGTGCCCAGTATCTGCATGAGTGGCTTGTTCATGCACTTTTGTTTAGAATAGACTAGATGTACACTTGTCTAGGATGGTTTAGATAGGGATGATCTCCTGAGGTCCTGTTCCACCCAATATTTCTATGATTCTATGTGCATAGTTGTATAGTTATTTTAAAAAATTAAATCAAACAGCATTTAACAGTAGCCTTATTTCCAAAGAAAACTATAAATTGTTTATATAAAATTCTACCTGCACTCACTTTTTCATAAAAAATGATGTGTCCTTAAATTACATTTCAGACAGGCCACAATGACAACTAAATCTTCCAAAGAAAAAATGCGCACACTGCCTTGGAGTTAAAAATTAGCACAAAACAATGTCTGTGTAGGAGAAAAAAGTAAAAGCAATAAAATGTTATTCAAGTTTTATTTCAAATAGAATGAAGGAAGCAAAGAAATCCAGGTAAATATAGTGGAATAATTCAGCCAGTTTGTGTGGAACACACATTTGATCAAGCATCAACATCATACAGCCATACATTTCAGTAGCCATTAAAGCTTACCTTATGTGCAGGCACTAGATTAACTAGAACTGTATCCAAAAGCTCTTGAGATACTGTATCTCCTTCACAAATGATAGAGCTCATGAGATCAACCATGTGCATATGTACTTTTTGATTATGACCATTGCTGAAATAAAAATGTAGTCACTGTTATTATTACAACAGATGTACAGCCTCTAACAAACAACATGACCAATAATTTAAGTCATCATGAAGAGAATAATGGAACGTAATTTTTTCCTAGAAACCAAACTACAATTTCTATGCTTTATGTGCCACTTTTCGTGACAGCAGAAAATCAAGCATAAAGTTTGATTCTTCATCCTCCCCCTCCACTACTAATCCATGAGGCAAATGTATACCATTTAACTAGAAATATATATTTTCTCCAACTCAAAACTGCAATTATTGTCTTACAACAGCAATCATGAAACATAAGTAACCAAGTAAAATTAGTTTACTCGAAACACGATTAAAAATTAAAATCGGGATAGCTGTACTTACTTTATTACTGAAAATAGCGTTCTGTACAACTGTGTGAAAATTTCATTGCTGTCTTCCAACTCAAAGCATATGTTATAAGATTTGACCCATGCAATATTCTATATTGGGGGGGAATACAAAACAGTAAAGTTATCATTAAAAAAATTTAAATCAATTTAAAGGTCATATTAGAAAATATGAAGTTTAGCTCACCTCAAGTAAATAAAAGTATCTGTTGAACTGTGGACTTTTTGTATCCTCTAATCCTTTCAGTTGCCTTGTTATAAACATAAATATATCCTAGACAGAAAGAGTAACAGTAAATGGATCCATCATAATCCAATTATTTACTTAAATTAATGTGAATAATTATGCAATGAAAACTGCTGATGAAATCCTCCCCTAGAACGCACATGAAACTCAGAGAGACTATTTCTCTGTCTGTGACAACAAGATTATGAAAGCACTATAAATTAGGTCAGAGATGGTAACTTTAGAAAGTTGCACCTTGGTAACAAGAGCAGGAAACAAAATTGGTTGAGTTTTACATCAAAACACATTCAGCTTGAAAGCAAAACTATACTTGACTGACCTGAACACAAAGTAAAATTTAACTGCCGTCTTGCATTTGATATTTACATTTTGTGATGCATTAGATTTGTTTTTTCATGGAAAGGGGTAATCCTTTTTTTGATCTGAAGATGTTTAAGAATTTTTAACTATGCAAAGAGCTGCTGCAGGTCAGCCACCATTCCAAACTAGCAAAATTGATCTCCTTTGATAGACAAAAATACAAAAACAAAACACCATAAAAAAGTCTGACGCTCACTCGCTCAACCTTTAATTTGTCAAATGAAACTTCCATAGCTCTCTCTTATGAGCCTTAAATTCAAATACAGAAAGAGATAAATATGAATTTTTTTGTGCAGATTATCCAAGTTGGCAAGTAGCAGAAGAACGTTAATTAAACATCATTTCTACACTCAAACCACTAACTCTGACTGAAGAAAAGCCAAAAGCAAGAGATTCACAACTGGTATACAAAAACCATGAAAGAATAGCCAAGACTTGACAAGTTTTCAGACTTTTTCTACCTTACAAAACTCTTTAAGGCTTCCCTTACTCCGTCACAGCTAAGGTTCCAGTAGAATAAATTCTAATTTCAGTTAGAAACAAAAAAAACCCATTCCCATTACTTCTTAAAAGATATGATGCCAAGCCACCTACAGAAGCCCACAATTATCCTTGGAAGCATATGAAAAAGTTGTTTGGAAGGTATGAAAGCCATCTTCTAAATATTTAGAATGTTTATGGAAACTATGAAGCTTTAATATGTATTTAATGTGGCATGGCAGGAGACACGATTGTGTGGATCATGAATTAGATCCAATCATGTCTTTACCTGCATGTGTAGAAGGGGCCTTAGTCTTTCATGTTCCTATTATGCACATTCATGTTCTAAATTGGGTCCCCTTCTTTTTTTGACCAAATCTGTACCATTCCCACTCCCCCTAACCCCCAACAGTTCTTTTCTCTCTTTATTGTGCCAATACTGTCTGAAACAGTCTCTCTCTTATGCTGCTACCATGTAAAGTCATATTCTGGTTTCTTTTCCTAGTGAGGGATAAGCCTGCCTGAAGAGGCTAATAAACTGATGTATTATTATGTCATAGCATATGCTCAGGTCACTCTGTAGGGATGGTACATGTATGATCGTTTCAGCACAATCAGCTGTAAGAGGAAAAAGAGGCTCAGTGAGAAAGTCAATATTTTAGCTGTTGACCTCAGGAACATCCTCTGGATATATATCAATTATAATTTTTTCAAAGATTTATAAAAACTTATTTTTTTAAACAGGTAGGAACAGCTAAAAGCACATTCTTGACAATGTCCAAACAGAAGAGAAAAAGCTTCTACAAAAATGTCACTAGAATTTCTTTAAACTGCAAATCCTACTCTAGTTCTCAAAAAAGTGAAAGCCTTTTAACTAGGTCTTTTCCAAAAAAATTCACATGGAAGTTAACAATTAGACCAGAGAATTTCACCTTACAGCAGAGCTTTCCAAACTGTGTGCCGCGACACATTAGTGTGTTGGCGGCAGTGTGTAGGTGTGTCGCGCGAAATGCAGAAAATTTTGCAGAAGAGCACCGCGGAGCTCCCTTACTCGCGTCTGCTTCCCTTGGCCCCTCCCCCGGAACTGAATTACTGTGTCGCGAAATGATGCATGTCTAAAAAGTGTGTCACCAACATGAAAAGTTTGGAAAGCTCTGCCTTACAGATTTGAACCTTTAACTATGCAAGTAACTAAAACAGGACCCTGCAACGGAAAGTCTAGAGCAAACTGTTTCCTTAGGTGTGCTACCAGCCCTATCTATAAATAATAAGATAGAATTTTCACGTTGTTGAGTTATATGCTCTCTATAACTCAGCTATATACTAAGTTTTAAAAGGTCAGAGGGAATCATTATTAATGTCTAGTTTGATCTCCTGAATAATATAAACTGAATCCAAATCCATATTTTCTGGCTGCACAAACACACACCCCTTTTTTTTTTTTTTTTTTAAGTAATCTAATCTTTATTTAACTTCAGTACCAGTCACATAATTTCAAAACAGATTTAAACAGTAACAGAAGAGGGTTCAACATGGGCCATGGAAGTTCCGGTGTAAAGATTTCAATTTTGAGAAGTGACTAGCTATCTTGGTAACAACATGAGAACTAGAAAAGGCCTGATTTTCAGAGAGCATGGTCAGTCCATTCTTCAGTTGCATCATCATCTTCCTCAGATATATACAATATGCTACTTGCAAGATATTGTCAGATCTTGGGGAAAACAGTGCCCTAATGGATGCTTTCATAGGGGAATGAAGACAAGGCCATAAGTTATTGAAAAGCAGTCCTCAGGCTGGAACTCCAGCTCCATTTCAGGCTAAAAATTATAGCACATACTCGATGAAATAATTCAAGGAACAATGACTGGGGGGAACATACCTTTGGCCCAATTAAAGTATTTCTCACCGTATCTCTTTACCAAGTGCATGGGCAGGTCCAGGGGAGATGCAATAGCACAGTCATGCCCCTCCCCACCCCCCCCAGTCCAATCCAGTACTGGTTGCATGCTGCATACACAGTGAACTCAATGGATGGTTGGCATGGGACCTGGGCAGAGACCCAGTGGTCAGTACCACTGCTGGGCTCCAGAGCCCTTGAAAACAAGTTGAGCACCACCACTACCCATCTTTTCTGCTGAGTTCAGGGTGGGCAGAGAAAGCAAACACTGGCAGCACTTACCCCCTGGGTTCTGAAGCCATGACAAAACGCCAAGCTGACCAGTCAGGGAGCTCAAGAGATCACTGCACATAAAGATGGAGCTGTACTGTGAGCTCAAGAGAGCTCACTGGTTTCCAGAGTTGTGATAAGCAGCATGCACCATACAGCCGAAGAGTGTGGCCTAATGTACAGCAAGCTCTCTTCACTGCACACCCAACAGACAGCTAAAGGGGGGGGCTGAAACACCCTTGCCACAATCCTGGATCCACGACCATGAGTGAAAAGAAATTAACTCCATTTGTATGAAAACTCTTTCGTACTGCAGCCAGAATAACTGACTGATTCCCACATCAGTGCATCTAAACCGTACCACTGGTAGGTTTCTCTTTGCAACAGGTAGGTTAGATGCATTTAGATCTTTAAATCTGAAAATTTTTGCAGTGCTACTTTCAACTGCTACTGAGGTAAAAGCCCAAACATATTATCCCAATTCAAAGTGGGTAGTGAAATCCTGTTTGAGATTTTGTCGGTAGAAGACAAAGGAGTACTGATTTTATGAAAGGAAGAAAAAGAGAGAAAATTAATTTAGTCTGCTGTAAAAGAAAAAAAAATACTTTGTAACAAAAAAGAAAAGGTTTGAAGATGCTTTGTTAAATCAACCATCTCCATCTAGTGGGTTCAAAAGCATTTCAAGAAAAGTTAATTTACACATTTTTATAACTGTGCAACCATCAAGTTGACAACCAAAATTACCACTTACAGCCAAATAAAACTATAAACCTGAAAAGACTGACAATTCTATCACCTTTAAATGGCCTAAAGAAGCAGTCAATAACCTTTCATTAACAGCAGGCTGAAATAAACACAGCTTTGTCCTTTTCATCATGACACAGTCTTGTACCAACTTGCTTGGCAGGCCACATTTAAAAAAAAAAAAAAAAAAAAAAACACTAAAACAACCACCACACCTCTTTGCAGGCATCAGGTTGCCAACCACTGACCCAGTGAGAAGTATTAGTGATCATTAGCCTAAATTTGTTTATGGAGGAGATTATGCTGTTCTCTCTCACAAAAATATCCAATGGAAGTTAAAAGTCTAATACTTGGGAACTGACAATATTAACTTAGTCTTAAAATAACGTAAATATTTCCAATGTAATTTCAAACCCTTTCAAATATTAATTACTGAAAGAGGCCTCCAATTATGATCCTGGCAGATATAAATGCCCAATTGTTACATCTACAATGTAAGTGTTACAAGTATACCATACCGACTAAAACTAACAAAAATTTGCAACGTAGACAGAACCTGTCTACCCCCTTTCCCTCCCCCAATAAAAGCCTTGAAATGGTTTTGTAACTTAACTAGTTGTATAAAACAAAACAAACAACTGAAAAGGAAGGAAGAAAGCAAATCATTAATTAATTCAGTTTAAGAATAGACATGGAGGAATATATATGCATTTTGGTGCTATTTCAACTTGCCTTCAGTTTATCTGGTGATGTATATGGAGCTTCAGGAGCATATATTCTGAAAATATCAGCAAGGCAACAAGCCACCAGCAAGCGCACATCTTTATCAGGATGTTTGAGGAAAAAATCTGAAGCAAGATGTAAAGCAAGGTTTAGATACAGCTCCTTCTCTTCTTCAGAGTCCTGGTCCATATCCATGAAGGTTTTCACAACCATCTATTAAAAGAGAAAAAAAATCTCAATAGGTAGAAGAAGCTTTTCAAGAAAGGGGTTGTCCTCTTTACTGTGAGCTCTGATGTAGCACAAACTCACATTCTATCTATAGATAAACAGAGCCTGGGACTGGGATCCTGGTCCATAACTAAGACTAGGTACTGCCATAATATTGTATTTACTCACATATCATGCATACATTTCTCCCAAAAAACAGCCTTCTATAGTTGGGTGTGCATCTTAAGAGAGGAAGCTGATTTTTCTGCCCAGCACAGAGACAGAGAGATGCTGTAAAATGCCTGCTACTACTTCTTCACTTTCCTTCAGCAGCCACATTTGGGGGAGGGACAAAGTCCAGGAGGAATAGGATCTAGGTGGGGGTACAGTGATGCAGTTACCCCTTATTTAATTCCTGCTCCACCCTTTAAAACCAACCACCTGGTAGTAACAATGAACTTACTCCTTCAGCACTATCTGAATAGAAAGTCGAGTAGCTCCTTATAAATCTACCAGACTTCTGCTAACTGCTCTTCATTCCATGGGTGTTAACAACCCCCTCCTTTTTAATGCTCTTGATGTTCTGCTAATCAAGCTATTTTCATCAACAATTTTGTCATCTGCTACCTACTTCTGGCCTCCCTTCTCCTAGTTCACAGCCCTGAAGGCTGCTTTTAGCATTTTTCAAAATCCTAGATCCAAATAGTTCAGTCTTCAGCAGCAGCTAGAGTTGTCAAGAGCTGCTGTTGATTCATCTGTGAAAGGGCTGAAACTGTAGCTTTAGTCTAAGCAGGAAAGGAAGGGTGAGTAAACTGAAGACTGGGCTCTGTCCCTGCTCTACATAGCCATAATCTGAGGGGAACCTTTTCTCAACTTCATTTTGTCTTTCCAAAAACATGGTATGCAACTTATTTGGGGCCGTGTACTAGGGGAGAAAATATGTCACTAAAATAATTCAGAATAGGGCAATATAAGTTCTACCTTGATTCTAGGATGTATTTGGTAGTCATGTTGGTCTTGAGACAAAGAGAAATGCAAAACTCTAGAACAGCAGTTCCCAATCTGTGGTATGGGTACCACCAGTGGTATGCAGACAACCCGTCAGTGGTAGGCATCAACAGATTTATTATAATTATTTATATGACAAAAATTTGCTGGTGGTACTTAAGGTTGTATCATTTTAAACTGGTGGTATACAATCTGTCACAGTATGGGAATCGCTGCTCTAGAACTCTTGGTTCAGAGATGCTAATTTTTATTAGACCAACTAAGCAAATCTCAAAAAATTCACATGAAGGTTAACAATTAGACATCCACCTTCAGCTTCCTCTATGCAAAATGAAGTTTATTTTCTACCTATGGGGACTTTTACCATTTTTAATTTTCCCTCAGCCTGAAGAAGGGTACACGTGCCCGCAAGCTTGCAAATAAAATTATTTTTTTGAGATTTCTTAGTTGGTCTAATAAAAGGTATTACCTCTGAACCAGGAGTTTGAGTTTTGCATTTCACCTTGATTCCAGAGCACCCATGCTCTTGCACAATTACTGAAAGTGTCACAGAGAAATATTCCTCCCCAAGACACAATCCACTTAAGAGAAGTGAATAATATAATGGTATTTATCTTGCATCTAATAAAAGCAGGAAAAAGCTGCAGCCAGCTTTTATTAGAAACTTTAATTTCTCTTTAAAAAAGGGAGAATGACAAAGGCAAAGGTTGACAAATCCCAAAATGATTTTCTAAACATTTCCCCAACTGATATATAAAATATAAACAAAGGCTGTAACACGTTTCCCAACAAGAAAACACGCCAACAGAAGCAGGGCATACTACATATCTCTATATCCATACATTGACCGTAGTCTTATGTAGAGTTTAGATTATGGTTTTATAGTTTTGGATAGGGATAATCCTGCCTCAGGCAGGGGACTGGACCAGATGATCTCTGGATGTTGCTTCCAGCCCTACTTCTCTATGATTCTATAATCAGCCAGTATTGTGTACACTGAAGTCCCAATTAAGATGATTGGGTGGGACACCTTATGAACAGCCTATGCATTGAAAAGTTGACTCTCTCAGTAGGTTAGAGAACAAACACACAGAGTAACTAATGGCCAAAGGAAACATGCTGAAGGGGTAAAAAATAAAAAACAACACTCCCGATAACCATTGTGATCTTTAAAAGTACTTTAAATAGGATTACCATACATCCAGGAGCGGGAGTGCATGTGTGGGTCCAGAGCTGCAGCAGGGCAGGGGAGGGACATGCCCTGCCTGCATGTCCCTCCAGCAGGGGAAGGGGGCAGGTACATGCCCTACATGCATGTCCCTCCAGCAGGGGAAGGGGGCAGGGAGGGAGCAGCAGGGAGTGGCGTGGCTAGCCTGGTAACTATGCTCACAGAGGTAGGGCTGGCATGAGCAGGGGGCTGTGCGTCAGGAGTGAGGGGCTGGGAGGGCTGTGACTTCTGAGTGAGGGGCACCAAAGGGGGGTGGGAATGTAGCTTGGGAGTGAGGGGCAACAGAATGGGCAGAGGCAAGGCACTGCCATATCACTGCCCCCCACCAGTAATATACTCTGCCTCACCCTCCCTCCCACCTCTGCTGCACAGCAGGTGCCCTCTTTTTTAGAACTGGAAATATGGTAATCCTACTTTACATTTGGTCCTTAGATCATTTAAAACAGGAGTGTGCCAAGCTCACATGAGTTGTCAGTCCAGATTCAGACCACAGGGCTTCTTACAGGCTGGATCTAGGCCGTAGGGGTTCTTGCAAGCCAGACAACTTACTTTTGGATCTGGCCTTGAAGGCTTTTTGCCACAACTGCCCAAGCTATTCTGTCAATGCCAGCTGTCAAGGATTTAACACTGCTGCCACTCAAGCCCCATTACTATGGTCAGGAGCCAGGGAGTTAATAACACTGCTCCTCAACACTCATCTCAAACAGCCTCAGACCAGCAGCAACCAAAACAAAATTTGGGGATGCGGTTCACCTCCTGGGTGCTGACCCCCTCCCAACAGTGGCTCCAGTAGCCGCAGGGACAGGGGGCCCGCCCCGCCGGCAGGGAAC